CGAGCCGAGTCCCTCGGCTGTCTCACCCTGCTTCTTGGTGTAACAGTGTCCACGGTGTTGTCCTCGAGCGAGATTTTTTTTTTTTCCTTTTTCATTGAAAGAGTGATTAGGTGTATTCGTCTTTTTTGGGGGGGGGAAGAAATCGACCAATTTTCCTTGAAGGGGATGGGGTGTAATTGGTAAAAGTTGTACGTCTATACGGAAAGTAGTAGCCGTCCAATCATTTCGAGAGAAATTTTTTCGAGAGGAGTTGTGAAAACTTTGAACTGGTGAACTTTGGAGATGAGAATTGTCGAATCGTTGCTGCGGTGGAAGAGATTGGTCAGAGTTGTATCGGACTTTGAGGAAGGGAGTCGGTGATAGGAAATTTGGAATTGAATTATCTTGTATATCTCGTTGTGGTGGGTAGAGATATAGGAGGAAGGAAGGAAGAAAAAGTTACGAGGGGATATTTAAGGAAGTTACGACGCTTGAAGATCGATAAGATAGGATGGATCAGAATCAACACGGTGATCGATCGAGTTCAAGTGAGTGAGAATTAAACTTTGGGAGTTATCTTTCCATCGAACGAAAGGTGGAAAGAATTATAAAACTTTGGCGAAACACTTGATAATTTAATAACAACCTTCCATCTATAAAATCTTTCCAAAAGATCACTTTAACGGAATTCGAAGCAAGGATGTACCAGAAGAAGCCAAGAAAGTGATCGCCAGTGACGAAATAATATACAATCAACATCCAAGTTGTGAGTGAGCATGTCGAGTGTGCATCAGTGACCAAAGCGTGACCAAAACGAAAGTGAGCAAAATCCATCCATCCTTCTCAAATCCCACGAAACGCACCCCTCCCCCAACCCGGTTTCAATCCCGGTCGAAATTTTCCGCTCATTGCCGAACTATGCGTGGTGCGAGATGGTGTGTTCTCTGACCAACAACAACAACACCAACAACAATAACAACAACAACAACAATAACAGTGGTAAAAGCTGCAACGACACCGGTGGCGAGCCGTGCACGGACTTGCGATCCAGCCCAGAGGCGCAGCCGGGCGAGAACATGTCGTCGTTGAGCGACGCTCACAGGCGGAACAGCCACTTGGAAGGCGACAGAAGTTCGTCGGCAGGCTCCTCTCTGGGCTCGTGCTCGCCCCCCCCGGCCTCGAGCCACTCTCCACCGCCTCCCAGGCCGCCTTGGCTGCACGATTTCCACGCGGCGGCCGCCCCTCACGTCCTCCAATTCTTGAACCTGAGCGCTGCCGGGGGCAGCATGCTGGCCAGCCAGCCTCTCGCGGCGTTGCACTCGATGGCGGAGAGGAGCCACCATCAGCAGCATCAGCAGCACCAACAGCACCAACACCAACAGCAGCAGCAACAGCAGCAACAGGCCCACCACCATCATCATCATCAACAGCAGCAGCAGACAGGGGGCATACAGTTGCCGAGGATCAGCGTCCCCTTGTCCACGATCACGCAAGGGCAGGCGTCGCCAACGGGGAGCGGGAAGCACAGCCCGGCAACCTCCATCACCTCCGTCGGAAGCAATCCGCACGGTATCGACACGATATTGTCGCGGCCGGCGGCCACCCATCCTCAGGCACCCGTGTCGGCGACGCACGCCGCGCTTCAACCGACGCCGCATCCGCAGCACATGACGGCGCCTCGGTACGGGATGCACGCGGGATTCACTGCTTCGTCGGGTTCGTATCTTTTATTTTTATTTCCCTCCCTTTTTTCTTTTTAGAAGGGGATGAAGCATCGATTGGTTTTCAGGAGGGTTGAGGGGGTGGGATCAAGAATGGATGTTTAGAAAGTGATGGAATAATTATTCGGATTTTTATGGAGCTACAGGTTTGGGGAATTTGAAGAATTGGTTTAGGTGTTTAGGGTTGGGATAAAGAGATATCGAGAGAGGGAAGATTTAAAAGAAGTTTAAAATGGGTATAAAATGGAATAATTATTTGTATTTTTATTATAAGTTAGGGAGTTAATTAATATAGAGTGTATTAGATTTGAGAAGTAAGGGTAAAGATAAAGATGTATAATTTAGAAAAATGGAACTAGTTATTTGTATTTTTAAATTAGAAGATTTAATTAATTAATGTGAGAGCATTCAGAGAAGGAGAAAAATATCTACATACAAGATTTTATCAAATGAAAATGAAGAATATAATAGAAATAAATATAGATGCACAAAATGGGAAGATAGAATTGTGAGAATAGTTTTATTGGTTGGATTTCATTAAGATGTGGAAGAAAAATTGGAATGGGTTGCACGTATATAAAGTGGAAAAACAGCATTGTAAAAATAGTTTTCTCGTTTGTAAGATGTAGGGCTGATTGATTAGGGGATGGAACGTTGAAGGGATTAGGGTTTAAAGATGTGCAGGCGTATAGAAGGAGAGAATTGTAAAAATAGCGTTGTTATTTGTTGAGATTTAAAAGTTGGAATTTGGAAGATTTAGAAGTGATTGATAAGGATTGTATATAAAGGGTTACGAATGCGGAGGACATTTTGATAATTAGTATTCAGAGAATGTACAGTGTACAGTATGGAAAAAGATAACTGTTTAAAGAATATACAGATAAAAAGATTTTGTACAGAATAAAAATATTTTCATTGTTTCTTATAAGATTTAAAAGTATTTGAAATATTTGTAGGATTGATTGATAAAAATTATAAAATGAAAATTAGATTCATGGAAGATACTTTAATATGAAGAGGTGTGTTAAATGTAAGATTGTAGAAATATTTTTGTCGCTTATGAAAATTACAGGAATGCGATTAAAGAATTATAATTAGAAGATAAGAGTGATAAGATACATGATATATTTATATTTATTTTAAAATTGGATTACGTGTTTAGCTTTCAAACACAAAATAAATAAAGAGGAATTTATAGATGATTAATTCTGTGAATCACTGTCACATTTTATTATAAATTTATAAAGATTGTCGGCCTATAAAGAAGAAAAAAAAGGATTACGTATATTTTTCAAAATTATAAATAGTAATTTCGGAATAAATTAGATTAGAATTTATAGTTTTCGTTCTCATATATTTTTTCTTGTTGTTTTGTTGTATCTCTATAATTAAACGAAACATCAATTTTTTAATTACAGTCATAGAAAATCAATTTTTCAATAATAAACATTTTTAATATTTTCTCTTTTATTGTTCAAAATTACAATTATTCTTCAATATCTATAAAATTGTTCAGGAAAATAAGTAAATAGATAAGTAAATACGTAGATTTATATAAGTTAAAGTAAATTATAGTTAAATGAAAGCCTGGTGAACTATAGATATAATTTTTATTTCATGATAAAAATCGATGATTAAGTAGTTTTCATTGGCGACAATAATTTGTAAAAAAAAATTTGATCGAAAGAACACACAGAATTCATTTTACACGATTTTTATTCCAATTTATACATTGCTTTCGCGGATATTAATTTCGTAGGAATTAATTTCAATAAAATGAAAAACGTCAGCAGTTACAGATTTATAATTTGACCGATGGGTATGATCGATCGTGTCGACAATCGAAGAATAAAAATGATCCCTGTCCGCATGTAATATTAGAGATTTAATACGATATTTCATTCGATTTAAATTTTGATCGATCCTTGCAATTATTATTATTGCCAATAATAATCTTATTTTATTTAGACTCTCAAAATTTCTTTCTCTTACGAGTTTCTTTTACTTTAAATTGCAATCTGTACAAAATAATAATATTTATAAATGAATACAACAATTCGGTAATAAATGGACGAAATAAAATTATAAGTGTTTTTTTTGAAAACAGAATTAATATTATTTAAAAGAAATAACTGTACATTCTTTGACGTATTATTTATAACAAGATGTCTCTTATTTATTTATATCCTTAACGTTGTATTATTAGGTTTTATAGGAATTGAATATCCATAGTAAATTTTCTTTGATTTTAAATTCAAATAAAAAACGTATAGATTCGTTTAACATAAAGCGAGAAATTCTTTTTCAATTTCTCGATTCTGTTTAAAATTTCATGTTTTTTCGCTCGTTATATCTCTTTTAATCTTGATCGATATCAAGATTATATTAAAATGTAAACCGACAGGAATAGAATTCTTTAATGTCAAATTTTTCGAATCGAAATACAATTGTTTTGATTTCTCTTTGATTTATTTTTACTTCGTTTATCAAAAAGCATTTAAATACATCTGTTAAATTTTTTTTTTTTTAAACTAATTTTGATTCGAATCCCGATTTTTCAGTGAATCAGTTTTTCCTTTCTATGCATTCGTTCGAATGTAAATTTAAAACGGAAACATTCGGTTGTTATTTTCATTTCCTTTCTTATTAAGAATATTCGTTTTAAATTGTTTTAGTTGAAATTAAACGTGTTCTTGCGCAAATACCGCTCTCTACCCTGTGCACGAGCAATAATCTGTATCTGTCCAGGGGCTCTATCTTGAACTTGATCCCGGATTATCCGTGCATTTAAAATGATTAAAGCGCCAATTATTTACGGCTGCGTCCGTGTCGCGTTATTACGTAGACGAAATGAAAGTGAATTTCGAATAATTTTCCAAATGATCGGATATCATTATTCACGATGGCTGACGAACGCCATCATAAATTTATTGAAATTTTCGTTTTACATTTTTTTATCGGTAAAATGTCAATTCGGGAATAATAATTTGTTTACTATGAAATTAAAAATTTCAAGAGTTTTATATGAAAAATTCGTATATTTCAACGCGTTGAAAATTTTCGTATTAAAATCATGTATTTTTATGTATCGAGGAATTTTAATTTTTCATCGTTTTCTCAAATTATATAACCACTTTTATTAGATATATATCTAAACTTTTAAAAAGAATTTATGAAAATGAATACACACGAAAATAACATAGTTTTATTTGTTTTTATATGGAAAATTTTCTGTGATAATATGTAATGCAGTAATATGTAATTTACATTTAAGTTTTAGAAGTAATATGTCGTAAATCGAGTTTTTTGTAACAACGACGATACTAGGCAACGCGGTTGAGCAACACTGTAGACACTATAAAATTGTTTTCCTTTCAATAAAAGAAGAAATCCATGGCGTGGCACCCGTAAAAGCAACCGTGGGGTCCCCAAAGAATCTTTCGCGATTTATATCCGCTGCTGTGCTACTTCTGCCTGTGGCGGACGTTCAAATATCTCCAGGAATCGTTCTCATAATTCGCCATAATGGAACCGGCTATAGTTTTAAAAAAGGCCACGTTTCGCACGCGCGAACATTGTTTAAGATCTCTCGATCTTCTTCTCTCTTATCTTCCCTTAATTTACGTTTTTTGAAAATTAATTATGATAACGAAAATGTTAAATAGAAATGAAAATATTAAAATTAATAATTTATCGTTGGGGATACTTTCTTTTTTTACTTCTTTTTTTTTATGTTTCAATGATATTTTTTAATTATTTTTTGAAAGAATAATATCTGATCACGAAATATAAATGTGAAACAGTTTTTTTTAAAGAATAACAATTATTTATTTAAAATCTTCGTTGTTGTAACATTCAACAACGATTTATGATTTCGAAGAAAAATATGCAAAAATCCAATTGAGCAAGATGTTAAAAATTGAATTATTTATCTTCGTCTATCTACTTTATTCCCATAAATTGTCCAATAATGAGATTCTCCAATAATTTTGAATGCAGAAACTCGATGGATCTTAAAATCCGACCTTATTCCTGGCATCACGAGCCTAATTCATGAACCCATGAACCCCGGTCACGTGCCCTCCTCGTTCATAAAATGTGTTTAGTATTTCTATGCTGCTCTTGATGGCCGTGCTTTTAAATTTATGGCATTATACTTTATGTGTGCGAGTGTCGCAATATCATTAATAATGGACGTACCAGGCTCGATGAACCCTTCAGTGGCGTGAAACACCCTCGATTCTCACGTTCTGCGATACAACATCGTTAAAATGGCGAAATAAGAGCAACAGGGAGGAGTATAATCACTCGGACTCGCGGTTAAAATTTCATTTTCTATTTGTTTCCATATTAAATTCCATTCTGGTGTGTATTAAGCTCGAGTAACGATAAGTTGAGAGGAATAGATTGAAGGAAGAATAAATATTTATATTGTTGGTAATTTTAATAAAAGTATATTCATACTCTGCATCAAAAATATTACCTTTCATCATATAGTACTCTTACAGTATTATATATTTTATTTCCTAATAATTAAAATAAAAAAATATAAATATTTACATTCCTGTTTCAATACGATCATTATATTATGAATTATTTTATTTGATTATCTTCCGGTTTTGTAGAGATCGAGGTCGACTTTAAGTCTCAAACTTGCCTAACCAAATCGGATAAACGCGTATACTCACACGAACCAAAGTTAGCGTATTTTAGGTTAACCACCTGACGACGGTAGCCAAGTTGGCTAGAGATTTTGATTCGAAATAGTTGCTATGATAAACTATATCACTTTACGTGATCCAAAAAGGAAAGCCAATTACGTTGTAATTATTCGAAAGTATTCAAAATTATAATTTCTCGAAGAAACAATTATCAATAACAATTATTAAAACTACCTCAAAAAATAAACTATCCTCGAGAATCCCTTGCAAAAAGTGAGATCACACTGTTGAATTAAATTTTATTACAATCGTTAACAAATCCAATCAATCATAAATTCCTATACACGTATTCATTGCTAATTAATCCCCTCGCTCTGTCGATAATTACCAAAAATACGGTATCGTATCTCAATTTCTCATAATCAAACAAAATTCCAATTTATACGTATAAATATATATATATATATATATACAAGGGTTAACGGACGCTCACCTCCGATTCGAATAATTTTCCCCACCGATAGAGGATAGAAAATGTCGCTAGTACGCTTTTCATCGAGCACGCTGTATAAACATGTATGTATATATCCCGCCCCCGAGTAAAATAGGCGAGCAATGCATGTCGCGCAATACGGAATGCGCAGGTTCGATACGAGTCCCCGTGCGTTCATTCAGCCACCTCTCGGCTTCCGGCGTGGCTGCTGCATCTGCTTTCACGATAATTCACCGCCGTTTCACGCGGAACCGGAACACGACGCGTTTAATTTTCCGTTTGCTCGAATATCGTTTCCTGTTTTCGATCGTAATTGGCAAATTTGGAGGGGGGAATTTCGCTGCCTATTTTCCATTCACGCCTGCTTTCGCGTCTATCATTGATTTCTGAAGCTTCGAATTATACATAGTTGGTATTGGTCGTCCAATATGGTGGATGTATTTGAATACCTTGGAATATCGTGGAACGTTGATTATACGTGTATATATATATATATTGAAATTTCAATTGTTTCGAATTGATAATGATAATTATGGACGATTTGAATATGGAATGAATTATGCGTTTAAATTGTATTCGCGTTTTCCAATGATGTTCGAATTGTGGAATATTCAAAATGATATTAAGTAGGTGTCGTTAATGATTAGAGTTAAATGTGATTAAAATACGTACTCTCGGACTGCTGGTTATTCGAAAAATTTGTAATCAATATTCCATTAAAAACAGATAGATTTTTAAGTTTAGAGTTAAAAGAAAGTAATATTCTCTCCCTAGTTGTTGAATATTACTTTTTACCGATCGTTTGAAAAATTTTGTGATTGTGGGAAATGGCTCAGAATTTGAAAGTTTGAATATTCATCGCTTTGAATGGCGGGAAAGGTTAGGTCTTTGAAAATTGAAATGGAAAAGCTTGGATCTTTGAATATTCGTGAAATTCAAACGTTTGGAAAATTTGTCACGGTTTGAAAATTTGAAAGTTTTGAATATTTAAAGATTCGAGAATTTAAAAGTTAGTAGTACTCGCGGGATATTTAAAATTTTTATATTTCAAATCAAAAATAATATTCGAATCTCTCGTGCTCTTTCTCAACTCTTCAAAACTTTGTAACTTAACCATAAACACATATCGTAAATTATTTATTAACACAACTCAGTCAATCAATTAATTCCATAGAATTTTTTTCAAAAAACATCTAGTCGCCGTAAAAATCTCCGTTGGAGGTTCGATTAAAAGTGAATTCACCGTTTTTCAGAAGCGATCCAACCGTGTTACGACACCGATCTCGAATATTTTTGTTGATGAGCATGCACCAGCGCCCCCATTTTTACGATCCAATAAATTTTATTTGATCCGAACGGACAAAAGTGGTAACGATCGTATCTCGCGCGTTGCGTTTCCAATGCTCGTTTCTTGGCCGAGGAGCAACATCGCTTAGGTAGAACACTAAAAACGGAAATAACGTTTTATTGATGGATACGAGATAGAGAGAGAGAGAAAGTTTGAAAAGATTTTTTAGTGAAAAAAGAGGAAGAAAATAATAGAATTATACGATTTTTCCTCGAACTACTACTACGATTAACGATTAGATAACGCAACAATATAAGTTAATTGGAATTTCATAAATCTGATGTGAATCGGATCGAGGGATGGAAATAAGAATTCGATCGATTGAACTTCAATTCAACTTCAAAGTTCAATCTCTTGAAAGGGAAATTGAAGATCTTTGTCATACTTTAAGATCAATATTCTTGAATCTCGAGTTTGGTAATTAATTATACGCGAAATGAGCTAATTTAAAGAAAAAAAAAAAAATTCTCCGATCCGAATGTGAAAAATTGTTTCACAAGAATCGTGAATTTTCAAACATTTTACAATCGGAAACGATGTAAAGAAATTTCGTAATATCGATGATAGGGTTCGATCGTGTGGAGCAGTTTTTGCGAGAGTTGGAAACCTCTCTCTTGTGATTGGATTGTTCGTGGCCACACGCGTCGGGTTGCGGTTCTCCGGCGCTGGCACGATCTCTTTGAAAGATATAGGGAACTGCGAAGGGGATACAAATAACATCACTTTCCTGTTGGAATTTCTTGCTGTCATATTGTCACGCCATTCGGCTGTATAAATCATCGCAATATTCTAAATTCTTGTTACGTTTCCCCAACAAATAATCATCGATAAAAACGTATTTCTGAAAATATCTGAACGATTTTATATTATATAAAGTATAATTTTTTTTTTCTTCTCGCTCAATCGTAATTTCCTTCAATTTCAATTTCTTCTTCTAAGCTATATATCACACTTCTCCATTAAAAAAAATATTAGAAAAGAATTTAATATTTGATGAATCTCAAAACATGGTAAGATTTATAAAAGATAAAGATAAGTTGAAATAAACTGGAGGAGGAGCGAGAGAAAGGAAAGAGGATAGTTTCATGACACGTTTGCTTTGAATGCAGGTATCGGGCAATTTCAACAAAGAACGGAGCCACGGCATCCTGCTGTCTATTGGCCAGGTCTTCAGGGATTAGTCAGTGATCCCCTGGGATGGCGAGCAAGACTGCACACACGTGAGTTTTCTTTCCCTACGAGATGTATTTCGCCGTACCACCACGTGTACACTCTTAGTATATCCGATCTATTAGAGCAGAGATTGTTCGTGACATTTTGCAAATAAGATAACGAAAAGAACGTGGAAGAGTTTAATCTTTGCCAGTAAGTGAAATATGTCCAGTCTTTCGCGAAAAACAATATTCTTTTTTTTAAATTCTCGTGGAAATGGTTTCCTTGAAAAGAGCATCCTATTTTTCATGTTATTAAGTACATTAGTTTTGAGTAAAAAAAAATAGATTCTTTTCTTTTTTATAATATATTTTGCAAACGAAAAAATACCAATCTTTCCTTCAAATTTTTAATATCATTTGTTTAAAAATTATTTTTTTTTTATTTTTCCTTTAAATTAAATAATTAAAGAAGAACATCCTCTTCCTTAAACTTACGAATATAAATATTTTTATTTTTATTTTTCATTAGTAAAGTAACGCAAATGAACCCTTTCTTTTAACATTTCCCAATATTTTCCATTAATTTCATAATTCCATAAAAATTCCACAAATCCCCAAAATGTCGAAAGAATCGATCACATATATTCTCTTGTGACGATTCATACGAAATGTATGAATCTATCATACATGATTTGACTAATAGAAATAATATTTGTCCCCGAATAGAGGCCCTTCTGTGTGAAAAAACTCGAAAAAACAAGAGAGGAAAGGAGAAAGGGGAGGGGGAGGGGAGGAAAAAAGGAAGGAGGAGGTTGAAAGTGAAAAAAGATTGGATTCAAAACATCGATCGGTAGGTAGGGAGGGATGGCATTTCTCTGCCCACGGGATATTTCGTTTCGCCCGATATTACTACAGATTTGACAGCTGCTCGTGTTTGCTTTTGCGGCGAGGAGATCGGTTGACCGGAGCGAAGAAACACGTGTCGTCGGGGAAAGAAACGTTAAATACCCGTTCATGGATCTAAGAAAATAAGTTTTTTTATAAAGAAAGGGGGAAAGAGACGAAGATCGACGAATGCTTGAAATTTAACAATTTTTCTTCCGTGTTTAAATAGAATTAAAAATACGAAATACGTTTGTTTTTATTTTTGTTGTTATAATTTATCGCGTCACATTTTTTTAATATTTCATTAATCGTTTGTCACGGATTTAAAACAAGAAGAATCGGAGAGTTTCATCGAGCAATAACTTAATTAGAATATTCGTGGCTACAATGAAAAATAAATTGATTTCTTAATTAATTAACAAATCGAATCTCCAAGGAAAATTTAACTGATTATAAAATATCGTAAGAGGATTCAACGACGTCAATTATATCCAAAAACATTCTCTACAAAGTACCGATAAAAGCGTCTCCAAAAGTCTCACAGACCTAGCACCACCCCATAAAGTTGCCATACTCGCGAAACCTCGGGGAAACTCTCTCCACAGCGATTTGTAAAAGCGATTAAGGGCGCCACAAGGAGAGAGAAAAAAAGGAAAATCAGGAATACAGAGTGAAAGAACACGCGAGGTCGGTGGAAAGAGAGAGCCATCCCCTTTCGAGGGCATACATCAAGCGCCGCCGGTGGCACATGTGTCGGCACACCACCACCCAAAACCGAAAACCCGCTTCTGTTTTGGAGGGATGAAACACGGGCAGAAGAAGGCCGAGCCAAAGTTTAAGCGCCCTGCACACTTATCGCTTCGAGAATTATTATGAGCCGATCTCTGATATCGTATTATCTGTTCACAATCGATGCCGCTCGTTGGCAGCAGAGTTTTACAATCCTTTCGAGGCTAATGATAGAAAGTAATTTTTACGAAGATCAACGTTGGAATATCACAATTTTCGAAAACTGCTCCAAGTATTTTAACGTGTAACAAGATACAAGAAATTTAAACGAATATCAAAATTTTTGAAACTTTTAAACAAGAAATACGTATTCATACCATGAATTTATTATATAAGTGGTAAAGTTTGACAATTATATTTTATGTAATCGCGTTCAAGATACCACTATCTTCGAATAACTCGTTCGAATTTATTCCTGATATTAACATCACGAGAATGAAAGAACTAAAAAATAATTACGAATAAGATATAGCTTAGCGTTGTCAATAATCAACTCTGACTACAATTACCATAAATCGCAAGCAAAAAGAAATCCAATCTATAAAATCGAAATATATCCGTCAAAACGGATATTCCCTTGTATTAAGAAAAGAAAAAAGAAAACCCCAATTTTCACCTCAATTTTTCCCACCTTTCCTTCCCCAACTTGCAACCTACTACACCGATATCAGAGATTCTCGTCCACGAAAGAGGGAGTGGTAGCCTGGAAGCAGTGTGCAGGCCACTTAACCCATCGAAAGGAGGAGCGAAAGGGGAGAAAGGGGGGTGTAGCAAGAAGGATGACGAGATAGGATGTAAGTACGCAGGAACGTACGCGTGGATGGGCGTGGACGTGGAGAGAGGAACCGCGCCGTGCGTTGTTGGAACGTGTCGTCTCGGCCACGGATGTCACTCTCGAACGAATATAAGAGGGATACATCCGTGGTCCGCCTCGGCGTATCCGGAATATCATATTCAATATCAACCCTCGAATATCCCTGCGAGGCCTCTCCCTTTCCTCGCTCACGTGAATAACTCTCGGCAATATTTTAACTGCGCCTTTCCTCCCCCCGTTATCCGCGGTGTATCCCGCCTTTTCTATCATTCCTCCTCTCCTCCTCCCCCCTCCCCTTTGTTTCTCTTCTCTAAGTTGAGTTACGAGCGGGAATATGGTGGATCGTGTCGATACTACTCCTCCAGTGCTTTATATTCCTGGCTGGTTAGGTCGATCGGTTGCACAAGGTGGTGGTCCTTGAACGATCGTCGCGGGACATGGTTTATGCGATCCACGGGAACGGTTTTATCTTTTTATTAAATACCTGGACCTTCGGAATTGGTTGGCATCGATGGGGTGAGAGGTGTTACGGGGGTATTTTGGGGAGAGGGGGATTCGAGAAGGATGGGGTGAGACGATTTCGAAGGTGAAAGGAAAAGATGATTTCGATGGATGATCGAAATTAAACGCTGGTGAATTTATTTCGCTGGTAAATTGAACTCCCCCTTTTTTTATTTGTCGTTCATCATTTTATGATGAGATTTAAGGAAATTGTAATATTTTATTTTTAGAGCAAGGATTGATCTCAAGTAAAATGAATTAATATTATTATTCACTGTGTCAAACCACCATTCATCATTATTATTAATAAGACAATCAAGATTAAATAGTGAAAGAAACGATGAAGAATGAATTTAAAAAATTCTTCTTCTTCTTCTTCGTACTGTTTATATAATAAAAAGAAATCAATATCGAATATAAAATAATTTACAACAAATTCTATCGTATAAGAAAACGAGCGGAGATACGGGAACAATTGAAGAAGACAGAGATATTGAGAAGGGAATGTCGACTAAAATTGGTGGTATGGTAATTAAGAAGGGCTTGGCAGGAGGAGGTAAAGGCAGCACGCGGTCAGACGCGTTTACTCGCGGCGGCACATGGGCCGAAGGGGGATGATACGAGGAGGGGGTTGAAAAGGGAGAAAGAGGAGGCGTGGGGTCGTCACAACGGTATGGGTTGTGGGACTTTAATTTAATAAAGCAATTTGTAACGGAATACGGAACGAGGCAATAATGGCCAGTCGGCGGGGAGGGTTCTAATGAGCTGCTTACCGCACTGCTCCACCCTCCAGCCAGCGATCGACGCTACACGTTTCACGCGATATCCCCTATTCGTCTACTTAGAAACTGCTGCTCAACTCACCTCGCCCTGTATAATTGTATAAGTCCAAGCTTTTTGCGGAAATTTATCGTCACCCCTGTCAACTCTCTCGAGCAAGATTGATCTTACCTTACGTCGAGGGTGGTGTTGCGGGAAATCTGTGATGATTGTTCAAGTTCCGATGGAGGAAAGCATTGTATCATTTCTGTCGATGGATTCGTTGTTTTGGTATTTTTGAGGCTGTAAGGGAAGATGATGAAAGTGGTAGATGGAAATGTGATATTCTCAACAAATATATATATATATATATATATATATACGTAGATTATGCTGGAAAAATCTATCTCCGTTCGAAGTTAATTGGACATATTTCGCTGACACGAATATCAAACTCTTGGAAAATTTTAAATAAAAATCTTCGAGCAATTAATCTTCAAATCAGCAAAATGTTTCGATCGAAGGATTCTATCTTATATCGATATCGAGATATGAACGAAATCTCCACGCAATTTTCCAGACCGTTAGCTCCCAACAGCAACCAAGAGGCACGCGTTAATCACGGTTTTTCCCGCGATAGATCGTCTGTGAACGTGTTTTCACCGCGATAATCTCACCCCCTGTCACGCGCCGTGCCATTCAACGATGCTATCTCTTACGTAGGATCTTGTATCCCTACAGGACGAAAGGGGATCAGTCGTGAAGGCAAGGATAACGATAACAATGTCCGCTTATTTGCGGAACGAGGAAGCCACGTGGCAGCCACGTGCCGCCACCCGCCGAGACGCCATGATTGCGGTCTATCGCACAAGTGTTTAACCCTTGAACGCGTGATTCCGTCAAATTAAACTGTGATCTCAGTTTCTTTCCTTTTTCGATGTTTAGATAAGAATATTGGATAAGTTAGGGGATAAAAATGGAAAAAATAGTAAAAATATTTAAATAAAAAAATGGTATCTTTAAGAGGGTGAAATTGAGAGGGTTAATTTTCATGATTTTTTTGATTGATGAAATTCACAATGTTGAGAATTCGAATTATTTTTCTTAGGTTCGTAATTTAAATTCATTTTTAATAAATAATTTGGAAAAATTATCTTTCTTCAAAAGAGATAATATTGTATATTAATTTGTAATAGATTAATTATGGATTTTTTTCAAGACAACTAACTAAATGGAAACTAACTAAATTTTTATTATTATTTTCCAAATTTTCAATTCAATCATTAAAGTATCTGTATATACGTGTTTCTATGATTAGAATTATATTAAAAATAATGTTTTTTAGGTTGACGATGTAAATAAAGTGACCGGTTGAATATGAATCTACCACAAAAGGTAGACTATTTGGAATCATGGTGTGTTATCGTAGAATAATTGGATGGTTTTCAATAGATGTGTCGTACAGAACATTTTTGGCGTGTAACGAGATGTAAATTTATGACGCAATTATCGATAGCCTATGTAAATCGTCGGCACGAAACGCGTTGGCCGATGGCAAGAAGAATGACGCAAAATTGATGAAGATTAATTGCTTGATAAAAGTGACCGCAACTCCGATTGGTTTGATAAGTTTTGCGATAATGTCGCTATTCAACCACCACATTTTAATAACATTCAACAGTAATCGTATATTATATAATACATTGAGATAATGTGAAAAATTTAAACTATTGTCTTTAATTAATCATTTTTTTGATTAGATTAAAATTTCATAAAATCAAAACACCAAATCAAAAAGATAATTTCTCAAAATTTTTCCATAATCCAAATACTCACTATTATAAACTTCTCAAAATTTTCTCTCAAAATTTCAAATCCACAATATCTTAAAACCTCTCAAAATCTCGAGCAGATATTATAATGTCTACTTTATCCAAAATATTCATCTGAAATATTTAACCCCCATTTTCCTCCCCCTACCCTCAACTTCATACCCACCCAATCCCAGAAGAATCACCGTTCAGTTTTCCTCCCAAACAATCCACAAAGATCTCGATCCACCACTCCTCGCTGTGCGCCGGATGCGCCGAGTGGCCGACATCTTTTCTTCCTCTTTCTCTCTCTTTTCTTTCCTTTTTTTTCCCCCCTTCCCTATCCATACCATCGGATGAATAGAAATAACGGCTCCTGGAAAGGGATCCGTGTTATTAGAGCGACGAGGAGAATTCCCTGGAAACGATATCGATGTTACAGTGTCGCAACAGCTGGGCTGTCAGCAGACGATGACAGGATCCGGCGGAACCGGCGAGCACGAGGGCGGCAAGAAGAAGCACACGAGGCCGACGTTCAGCGGACAGCAAATCTTCGCCCTCGAGAAAACGTTCGAGCAGACGAAGTACCTAGCGGGGCCGGAACGCGCTAAATTGGCCTACGCCCTCGGCATGTCGGAATCGCAGGTCAAGGTAAGAGGAGACCGCTTCTTCTCGCTTTTAGGGGTGCTTTTCCGAGCGATTAAAGGGTCGTTAGAGTGAGACGTGTCACGATCTCGTGCCTCGATTCGATGAGTTTGTGGTGGGATTGGGTGAAAAGATTTGGAGGGGAGGTGTTAGATTTTAACGAACGAGAGTTGTTTCCTTGCGTTGATTTCTTCTTTTTTAATTTTTCCCTGTTTTCTTTCGATGATTTAAAAGGGTTGGTTAGGAAATGTAACGTTGATCGTTTCGTTGTAATTTCACAAAATCGAAGATCGTTGATCACACGTGACGATTTTCGTATCGTATGTGTGTTTTGAAAATAAATATTGTGCTTTGGCTTCCTCCTCTTCCCCTTCATTTTCTTTAGATTGTTTTTTCGTGGTTTAAGGGGTCGGTTGATTGTCACGAATTTTCTTCTGACGATTACGTTTCGATTACATTTGGACGATTTGAAAGAAAAATTGCAAATTGGTTGAAAATAAAAAAAAAGTGGAATTTTTTAACGAAAAATCTCTTTTTCTAAATGCTATTCGTAATTTTCCCAATTCTAATTATTTTCTATGTATTAATTCAATTGATATTAACAAGTTTATCGATCTTTATTAAAGAAAATTGCTTCCAATCAAAACGATAGATGATATTCCCAAGAAAATCTCTAGGTTCAAAAGTTTCTCTTCCATTTAACGTTCAAATATTTTCGATTTCTTAGCAAATAATCGTAAAAAGAAAAAAATATGGAGAAAAACAAGATAGAAATTGGGGGAAAAATGGCGGGCGAGAAATTAGACATTGGAATATCGCTCTAGAATGTGGCGTTTGCTCGATGCTTTTAATAAAGTTTACGCTAATCTCCGATAAAAACGTCCAAATGATTTAAGCGTGCGCCCGGCTAATTATGAGTAACAGATGTAGATGGGTTAATAAAAATTCATAACAGTTGAAGCGTTTTCGAGCCGGGTCCGATATTAATCCGTGAATGATGGAACGGACGGCGGGGGTTGCGATAAAAAGTAAAATCAACTTAAACTGCTGCTGCTGTTTTTAACGGCCGCCATCGTTTAATATTTCCTTGTCGGCTTAAACGTTTAAGCGGGGATTACAACCTCGAAAAATCATCCGTTTTAATGACCAACAGACTTTTTGTTGCTTCGATCTCGATCCCTCTCGACAGACGAATACTCGTCGAAATAACTATTTCATTCTTCCTGTTATTATTTTCTTTTTTTTATTTTTCCCCCTCCCTCTCGACAAATTCGATATTTTTCGTCACTTCCTTTTTTGCTGCTCTAATTTGGAATACATTGAAATCGTTCGATTTTATTATATGTCGTTAATTCCGGCTTATTAAGGGTTGTAAATCACGTATTGAAATTGCGATTATTAATGGCACGAATCGCAGGATAAATGGTTCGGTGTTATAACACGGAACCATTTAAGGGAAATGGTATGTAAAGAAATATGACGGTACCGAAATTATTTTAGAATTCAGAATACTAAGAACAAGCAATCCGTATATGTATATCTTGTTCCCGAAACTGAGAATATTAATATTACTATTATACCAAAACAAGATCGATATTAAAATCCTTATCCTCGTGACGTAACGATATTAGCCGATAATTTCAGAGAATGTAACGTAATAACGCGCGCAAACAAAAGAACAGGGTCGAAAGGCAAAAGGTATAAAATTAAAAAAACGTGTCCAGATCCGATTCGTAATCCAGCAAAGAGCCCCCTGGTATCATCGCGAGGATTCGCCTTTGGGTGGGGCGTCAGCTTTCCTCGTTCTCCATTCTCGCACCCTCCCTCCGCCAGGGGAGGGCGTAATTTTAAAACGCATTTGTCCGCCGCCGGCTTACTCCATCAACGCCGCGAGCAAGCTTCTAACGAGGCAGCTTGTAAAAAGTTCGAAGGATAAAAGAAGGTGACAAAACAGCCGGAGACGTGTCAAGCTTTGCGGCACCTGCGTCATTCTCTCCCTTCTGTGTCTCTCCCCCACCCCACTTCCTTCCTTCTCCAAACCGTATGAAACACGGTTAAGAGGGACAAGGAGAAACGTCGAAAGCCTCGGTTCACGACAGCTAACCGTCACTTCTCGTTCCCTTCCAACCCTCTTTTTTCATCCACTATGCGCCTCTCTCTCTCTCTCTATTCCTCCTCTCCATCTTTTCCACCCTCGCCCACTATCTCCTTCTTCTCCCCCACCCCTTCAAAACTTCTATTACCTATCTCTCCCGTATCCTTCTACACTCTCCTCTCCTCTCCTCTCTTTCTCTCTTCCTTCCTTCCTTGCACCATCTCCTCCCTACATCTCGTAGTACTCGTGTAGAAGAAGAGTTAGAGAGAAGAAACTCCGTTTCTGGCGAAGCCTCGTGCAAAACGGGTTGCCCCGTTCTTCGCTCCTCCGCTTCCCCATCTTCGACCCTCGCCCTCTTCAACCGTTGTGTTC